GAGGCTGGAGAAGCAGGTCTCTGTGCACAATGTCTTCAGCCAAAACGAGATGATCGATGTCATTGGTGTGACCAAAGGGCATGGGATGAAAGGTACAGAGCAGGGAGTCCCTTGCTTGGTTCTGTCCTTCTGACACTGCCCATAAAGTAGTGCTTGGGGGGAGTGTTAGCCATGCTGAGAAATCACCAACTTATTCTACAGGGAGTATCAAAGAGCTTCTGGACATCACCCATAACATACAGTTCCACTGTAGCAGAGCTTGGTTTGGTTCATCTCAGTGGAGGTGGTGTCTGCTCTGCCCAGAGCCCTCCCAGGAGGCTCAGAGGCACCGTGAGCACGTCAGCCATTGCACTTCTCACAAACCTCACCTGTGTGGGGCTGTGGGTGTTTCTGTGCCTGTGCATGGATGTGCTCAGAGGGTACCACAGTCTGGTGGGACCCTTGGGAAGTGAGAACCACTCTCTGCTCTGCCCCGTCACGGGGCTGACAGCTCTTGGTCTCCTTCCAACGCGTTGTCTTCTGAGAAATTCCAAAAAAATGCTGAGACCTTCCCCTTTCCCCAGCCCTGAATCTCCCTGGTGTCCTCACAGCCCTGTCTGGTCACACCTGCAGGGGTGACGAGCCGCTGGCACACCAAGAAGCTCCCCAGGAAGACACACAAGGGCCTGCGCAAAGTGGCCTGCATCGGCGCCTGGCACCCGTCCCGGGTGGGCTACTCCATTGCCCGGGCTGGCCAGAAGGGCTATCACCACCGCACCGAGCTCAACAAGAAGGTACAGCCCAGGTGGGCTCCTCAGAGCCCTGCTGCACCTGCCTGCCTTCCTCCCACCTTGTCACCATCCTCTTGGCGTGGTGGCCTCTCTCCTCCTCAGATGTTTCCTTAGAGATCTGCAGTGCTGCTCTTCTCCATATCTCTCCCTCTTGTTCCTTCTTCAAGGGACCACACCTGGAGTACTGTGTCCAGCTCTGGAGTCCTCAACACAAGAGGGATATGGATATGTTGGAATGAGTCCAGAGAAGGGCCTCAAAAATGATCCTTGGGCTGGAGCAGCTCTGCTCTGGAGCCAGGCTGGGAGAGTTGGGGTGTTCAGCCTGGAGAAGAGAGGGCTCCAGGGAGACCTTAGAGCAGCTTCCAGTGCCTGAAGGGGCTCCAGGAAAGCTGGGGAGGGGCTTTTTACAAGGGCTTGTAGTGAGAGGACGAGGGACAATGGCCTTAAACTAGAGCAGGGGAAATTTGGGTGAGACATTCGGAAGCAGTTCTTTACCATGAGTGTGGTGGGTCACTGGGACGGGCTGCCCAGAGAGGTGGTGGAGGCCCCATCCCTGGAGACATTCAAGGTCAGGCTTGATGGGGCTCTGGGTAATCTGGTCTAGTTGAAAAGGTCCCTGTGAACTGCAGGAGAGGCTGGACTAGATGACCTTTAAAGGAAAAGGGAAAGTCACCCTCTGGATCCCTTTCTGTTCCTAGATTTACCGCATCGGGCGTGGGATCCACGTGCAGGACGGGAAGGTGGTGAGGAACAACGCCTCGACGCACTACGACATGACAGAGAAGACCATCACACCTCTGGTGAGGGCTGGGGGGCAGCAGGGCTGTGCCTGGGCAGGGCTGCAGGCAGCTGAGGCAGGGAAGTCATTCCCTGGCTGGAGGCAGCTGCAGGGAAGTGATCTGAAGGACATTCACTGCAAGAACCCCAGCGATTCCTCTCCTCGTGTTTTGGAGACAGATAAACCACCACTGTGAGGTGGCTTTTTTAGGCCCATTGGTAGACCCAGACATACAACTTCTCAGCTCAAACTTGGGCAGGAACTGAGAATTTCATTTAAAAAGAAAAAGTATAAGTGACATGGAGAATATAATGCTTCACAGATCAGTGTTTGTTATTTGGTTTAAAACTTAGCTCTTGCTTATTAAAAACGGTTAACCTGGGAGTTGAGCCAGCTCTGCTCCCTGTTCAGCCTCATGCCCCAGGGAAGGAGGCAGGATTGCTGGTTCCCCAGCTCACACAGGGTACTGCTTGGGTGGGGTCATGCTGTCAGCAGGGCTGATGGGCTCTGGTGGTCCTGAGCAGGCCACCTGAGGGGTGCTGAATGTTGTTAGCTGGCAGGATGTTCAGGACCTGCCTTCTTCCCTGGAAAATGGCACCTGTGGTCACATCTGCTCCCACCCAGCTCCCCTGCCTGCCAACCCTCTCTCTGCCTCTCCCCACAGGGTGGCTTTCCTCACTATGGGGAGGTCAACAACGACTTCCTCATGCTGAAGGGCTGTGTGATGGGCACCAAGAAGCGTGTGCTCACCCTGCGCAAGGTGAGGGACGGGCTGTAGCTCTCCAGAGGGAGATTCTCCACCTGGAGAACACCACTGCCTCCAGCTGCTGGGGCAGGGAAACTGGTTGGGTCCTTGGTGCTGTGTTGCAGAGGGTGTGTGACACAGGGGTGTCGTGCTCAGTGGGATGTTTGCAGCTGGATGGGTGGTAGTGGGTGCAGTCTGTCTGGAGACAGAAGCTGCAGGCCTTGAAGGGCTGTCATGGGGGCCTGGAAATGGAAACCATGGCCACAAACAGAGTGAGGGGACAGAAAAGGCCAGGTGAAGAGCAGGCTGATTTCAGAGCCTGGTGCACTGTGACTCCTCTTTTCCAGTCCCTCCTGGTGCACACAAGTCGCCGGTCTCAGGAAGTCATTGAGCTCAAATTCATTGACACCACTTCCAAGTTTGGCCACGGCCGCTTCCAGACAGCTCAGGAGAAGAGGGCCTTCATGGTGAGTTATTTCCAGCTCCTGGGCCACACTTGCAGTAGGGGCTGAAGCAACTGCCTGACTCCAAACAAGCATCTGCTTCTTGATACAACAGCAGCCGAGTGAGTGATTGGGACCCTCTTGCCTAAAAGCCAGGCATGAATTCAGTTCACACAGCAGATACTGTGCTAGGGAGGGACATGATGGTTCTGTGAGCGATCCAAGACAATCCAGCTAGCAAATAATATCCCATATGGCCAAGCAGTTTCCACTCACCATGGGATGTTCTAAACAAGCAGTTAACTTGGCAGGCGCTGCCTTGGACATATGGTCCTTTTCAGTCATAGTTGTGCTCTTCTTTGATTTGTTTGGAGTGATTTATAACTTTAATGTTCTTAAGAGGAAAAGGTTGGGTCAAATTCAGACACAAAGTTGCAATCCTTTTGTCAGGAAGCCTTCAAAAAGGCCAAGCTGCAGGTTTGTCTTAAACCCAGGAGGGGAAAAATATAAAATCAAGTAAACCCAAACCAAGCAGAGTTTCTTCAATAGGTTTGCAACTGACAGCAGGCTGGTGAGTCAGCCTGAATGTGAAACTGAGGAAGTGTTAAGAAAGCCAGGCCTTCAGCTAGCAGAAATGAAAGAAACAACTGCCTGGATACCACTCAGACATGAGCTGTGTCTGGATCTGGCCTGTCAGCTGGAAATCCCATCTGAAAGTGGCTAAGCCTCCTTAGCCCGGGCAGGGGGATTGGCCTTTGCAGAGCTCTTTAGAGGTTAAGCTGTTTTCCTTTATGTCAGTGTTAGGAGCTTGTTCTGTCTTCTGCTGTTGCTGCAAGTCCTGAGTAGCTGTGATGTGGATCTTAGTGACAGGAGGTGGACCCACCAGGCTGCAGATGTTGTCTTTGCTCCTCTCCACATGCCCTGACTGCTGCCCAGCCTGCCTGGCTCCCAGCAGGTCACTCCTTGCCACTTTCTGGCTGGTTTTTTGCTGTCTGGAGACACAAACCCTTTGTGCAAGGGCCATGACATCCCACTCCTGATTCCTGCAGGAGCAGGTCCTGGGGTGGCTGGGGAATAGTGGCACAGAGACCAGGAGCAGTCTGGCATGGCAGAAAGCACAGAGGCAGCCTCCATGTCCACCCAGGTCTGTCTGCCACTAACACTCTCCTCTCTACTCTGTTCTAGGGCCCCCAGAAGAAACACTTGGTGAAAGAGAAGCCAGGAGTGCAGGAAGAGCTGTAAGGGCTGATATGCAAGGGTTCCTACCTGGGCACCTTCAATAAAAGCCTTCAAGCTGTGCCTGCTGCCTGGCTTCCTCCTGTGGGGGGGCCTCGCCTGTGGCACCAGCGTGTCCTGGAGGCCCCTCAGCAGATGGGGATGGGATAAGTAGGGCTTGAGACTGGCCCATATGGACAGGGACTAACTGTGACAGCCAGGTGCTCTGTCCTCTGGCTCACCCCTTTCCTTTGCCCAGGAAATTTTTTCCCTCTGCCTGCATTCACCCAAACCATGGTGAAGATTCCCCTGTCCTCTCCTGGAGGACAGCAGAGCAGGTACTGGCACTTCTGCCTCAGTTTCCACTAGCAATACAGAGCCTCCCTGTGCCCTGCCCCATCCCACTGACCATCTCTCCCCTCTCCAGCTCTCACACACACCCACACAGACACTCCTTTTGCTGGGCTGAAGGGATGATCCCTGGATTTCCCTCTGCACAAAGCCCCCTGATCCCAGCAGCATCCTCAGCGGATGTGGGAACTTGTGCACAATGAGATGGTGCTGGGTCAGACTGGCCAGTGATGGGTTTATTCAGACCTTGGACTCATTTCCCACCCCTGCTTTCCTTGCAGTCCAGCTGCCTGCAGGGAGTGTGTGATGTGTCTTGGAGCTGGGATGTCCTGGAGCAGTGATCTCAGCTTCTTCAGTGCAGAGCTGGTCTGGGTGTCCTGCACCCTCTTTGGGAACCAGACAGTGGAAAGCCCAGCCCACCGCTGCTCCTGAGCTGCCCCCTGACCAGCAGTCCTGGGAACTTGGTAGGAGCTGCATGAAGTTCTTGGGTCTCCAGCAAACCCCTTGCCCTGGGGCCTGGTTCTGCTGTCAACGTGTGCTTGCAGTGTTCAGGGAGGAGGCTCACCTACAGAACTGATGAGGATGAGATGAACCAAGAAGCTCAGACCTCATGGCACAGCCCTGGATGCATTTAGTGGCCAGGCCCTGGCTGGTCCCGTGTCCCAGTGAGGTCCCCATGCCCTGTGTGGGGCTGTGCTTCAAAGCCTCTTCTCTCCCTTGGCTGGTAGGTCCCTGGGAATTCCTCCAGCAGGAGTCTGAGGATCCAGGCCTGAGCTCATGATGGGAACGATGAGATCATCCATGTTTGGCATCACCAAGATTTTCTGAAAAGAAGAAACCAGAATAACAAGTAAGTGGTTCTGGAGGCCACTACCTGCCTGGTGACACCTCTGCCTGGAAGTGGCCTTGGCAGGAGCTCAGATCAGAGACTTCACTGTCTTCAGCCACTTGGGAGGTGTTTGCCTGGGACTTTCAGACACTCCTCATCCCCCTGCTTGGGGCAGGGCTGGGAGGAAACTGCTTTTCCTCAAGCTCTTGAGTGCTCAGAGCACCAGCCCTTGGAGCTGGTCAGTGAAGTTGTGTTTCTTGACTGTCCAAAGCTGGACAGACCAGATCGGATGTTGGCTTTTCATAGAGACAACTCTGGCCCAAACAGAGGTCAGGTTATCCCTGATCTCAGCAACGCCCCCACTTCAGCAGGGTGTGCTGGGTGCTTCAGTGGGACAGGCACCTGGAATTCGTGCTGCAGCTTCTTCTCGATCCACTCGGTGACGTGGAGGAACGTGACCTCCCGCTCGCCCAGCTTCGGCCGCACCTTCAGCTCCAGCTGGGGCGGGACTCGGAAGCTGTACCTGTGAGGGGAAAGAGGCAGGAAGCATCACATCCCAAACAGCTGGTACAGCCCAAGTGGCCCCACTGCTGGGTTTTGGGGACCTGCCTTCTGAGAGGAGGTGGCCAGGGTGCAGCGAGAGCTCTGGGTCCCCAGATCCTGCCTGGGAGGACAGCCCTGGCTTGCTGGCACCTCAGATGAACTGAAAGCCCCAGAGCTGGCTCCTTGGCCAAGCCACAGGGAGCAAGGGGAGCTGGAAAGAGGGTGTGTGTGTCCACATGGAGGAAGAAGAACTGGTACCAGACACGGTCCGTGGGTGGTGGTGGGATATTCACAGCCAAGGTGCCTGCCAGCTCCTGCACCTCCACCGTCAGCAGCAGCGGCGTGTTGGAAACCTCCTCGATCTTCTTCTTGATGAACTCGTTTTCAGTGGCCTTCTGGAAATACTTGGACTTGGCAATCTTGTCCACAAAGCGCAGGATCTTCCGGCTCGTGCTGTTGCCGCTGATGTGGCTAAATTGAGGGGACACACCTGGATTCAGCATCCCCCAGCCTCTGCCACAGCACCCCCAGGGACAGGAGTCCCCTGGGAAGGGCTGCCACAACCCCACACAGCCCCTTACCCCTCGGTGCCGGGTGGTGGGCCCCGCTCCCCGGGGGCTCCTGTGGG